TTTGGAGAATTTTTCTATTATTATCATCGGATCTGCGGGGCAGTATTGGAAAAATGGGTGTACCAGTTTGAGATGCTATTGTGCACATAAGGAGGGTATGCGATGGTTCATGGGTATTGAGGCGATATGGTCTCGTGAATTGGGTCACTCGGGAAAAGTGTTGTTGAGTTCTGTTATGTTCTCGAATGGAGCTATTATTATTTCTAAGGAAAGTCAAGAGTAAATTGGAAGAAGTTGGGTGGGTTAGTAATGGTTTGAATCAGCGTGATTGTGGCAATCATCAGTTCCTTCAGTATGTTATTTTATACAAGTGGTATAAATAGTATAATTTTTCAGTGACGGGTGTTCAGCTGACCACCCTTGAGCCTATGTGGCTCCGCCACTGCTCAGTAACCTGTTAAAATAGCTTCTACGCAACCTCAGTCGGTATTTGCTGAGGAATGAGACTTACCATCCTAGCGCGCTCTCCCTTTTCTTCAGTGGCTTCATCTTTGAAGATTTTGTCAATCTGAGAACATAAAAGAACATTACATATAGAATCCACAAGCTAAATATTATTAAAACAAACCAAAAAAGGGGGTAAAACAACCACAACGTACCGCCATTCGAAAGAAAATGGAGATGCGAAGCTGAAACCCAAAAGCTGAACTTTAACAACGATCTAAAACAACAAAACATGTGTTATATCACAACATTACAGAGTCAGTTCAAGAACAAATGTAATTATTCAAAACCATACAAATATAAAATCCACTTCCCTTTTTCAATTAACGAAATAAAAATTCAAATCTTTTTTTGATAGTGAATAAAAATCAAATCTTTAATGCAAAACATAGCAAAACTAGGTCATTTACAGAATACCCATTAGTTAGAAAATCTTAAAGAAAACAAACATAGTGAGTAAATCAGCCACAAGAGAGCTCTTTAGGAAATTATATGAAAAATCAAGACTAGGGCAAAAGATGTGTAGAAGGATAATTTAAGGGAACGGGGCTTGTTTAATGCTATAAAAGAGCATGGAAAAGAAAAAATGAACCTGAAATAATAATGCCGTCGACGGTGGCGGCGCCGGAAAAAGCTACTGGTACGAGTGAAAGTGGGAAAGTGAGAAGGGTTCGAGAGGAAGTGAGAAAATGAGGTTTAAATGGTCTGATTGGAATTTTATTAGTTTACTGAGGGCATAATGGTCCTTAGAATTTATTGGGCTTGCTCGTTATGCATCGGGGCAAGTGCACAGATAGCCGATTTTCGGACTCCTATTTAAGCCATGACCTAAATTATTAAATATTTGTAAGTCTAGCCACTTCAGAAGCAAGTGTTTAAGTATTGCTTCGAAGATGTGATCTTATACAAAAGGGAATGTTGAGTTTTACAGGTGGTTTTGATTGTTATTACATGTCGTTTCATAATGTATTGTATTGTATTATTTGATGAATAATATTTGGATAAATTGTATCGTTTGACATCGTTTTATGATATCACGCACCAACAATATGAAGAATAAACTTGCAATATTGCAAAGAAAAAATAGGATACGAAGTAGAATTATTATATAAAATAATATATGGAAAATGATAAAATATGACTATTTAATTGTAAAGAAGGGCAAGATGAGATAAAAAAAAGTAAGGTAACGACGCCACCACACCAAATTCGTCGTCCCATAAAATAGCACTTTTTGTTGTTACGTAACAACGAATTTAACGATACGATACAATAAAATTTGAGTAACAATCAAAACAAATATTGTATTTAAAGTAACCATACGATATATTTAAAGTAACCATGCGATACAATACAATAGGTAACAACTATCCAAACAAGTTGTTATGAGGAATTTGATTTTACATGAGTGAAAGGATGGTTAAATTAAAAGTTTATAAGTTGGATGGATATATGCAGAGGTGAGGGCGGAGTATGAAACAAACCCAATAAGTTTTGTTTAGATCTTATATTTATATAAAAAATGTTGAAATCTAGCCCTAGGTTCCGCCATTAGTGAGCTTGAGCGAGAGAGAGCAAAAAAGACGATAGAGAGATACAGAAATGAGAAGCAATTTTCTGTTAACTGCCTTGAACTGAAAATGAGTTGTACATCACATATTTATCCTAACTAACACAACCTATTTTGTGAAAGAGGAAATTAACAACTAACTTATTAACTAACTACTATCTAGAAGAGTACTACATAAATGTACAACTATTTACGACTCTAATTTTAACACTCCCCCTCAAGTTGAGAATGAAAAAATGTCTTTCATTCCCAACTTAGAGACTAATGCTGCATGTTGCTGATGTCCAAGTGCTTTGGTCAGCACATCTGCTGGTTGCTCTTGACTAGCAATATAGGATGTCTTGATCAGCCTTTCTTGAATTGTTTCTCGGATGAAATGGCAGTCTATTTCTATGTGTTTTATCCTCTCATGATACATAGGATTTGCAGCAATTTGCAATGCTGCTTTATTATCACATAACAACTTCATGGGCATCTTTAAATCCACACTCAGCTTTTTCAATAGACCCTTAAACCACACAAGTTTAGCTACTCTGTGTGCCATGCTTCTGTACTCAACTTCAGTTGAGCTTCTAGATATAGTGTGCTGCTTCTTAGCTTTCCAGTATATGGTTGAACTTCCAAGCTTAATACAGTATTCAGTAACAGACTTTCTTGACATAGGACATGAGGCCCAGTCTAGATCACATAATGCTTCTATTTCTTCTTTGATGTCACTTGACATTACTTCTTGATGTACCTTACTACATAAAGTGTTGCTTCATAGTGAGATTTCTTAGGTGCATGCATAAACTGACTTAGGGATTGCACTGCATATGAGATATCATGCCTTGTTATTGTTAGATACAAAAGTTTTCCTATGAGCCTCTGATAACTCCCCCTGTCATCCATCAACTCATCTCCCTTACTTATGTTTGTGCAAGTATCAAACTCAGTGCTTGTGAGCTTCAAGTTCTGCTCCATTGGTGCCTCTTTAGGTTTAGAACCTGCCAAGCCTGCATCAGATATCATCTCTAATGCATATCTTCTTTGAGTCATAATGATGCCCTCCTTTGATCTAGCAAACTCTATATCTAAAAAATATCTAACTTCTCCAAGTTCTTTCATTTTAAAATATTGATGCAGAGATTCCTGTGCAATTTTAATTTCCTGCAGATCATTACATGTAACAAGAAGATCATTTACATAGACAGAATCAAAACAAACTTGTTATCCACATTTTTAGTAAATAAAGAGTAGTCATTCTTGCTTTGCTTAAAACCAGACAAAGACAAGGCTTGAGACAACTTCAAATTCCATTGCCTAGATGTCTGCTTGAGCCAATATAAGGATTTAAGTAGCCTACAAACCTTATGATCCCCTAGCTATTAAATCCTTAAGGCAAAGTCATATAAACTTCCTCTTTGAGGTCTCCATTCAAAAAAGCATTTGAACATCCATTTGAAATATAGGCTAGTGCTTGAGAGCAGTAGTGGCAATAACAGCCCTCACAGTTGTCAGCAGCAATAGGAGAGAATGTATCATGAAAATCCAATCCTTCCTGTTGTGTAAAACCTAGCAACCAGTCTGGCCTTGAATCTTTCTATAGTACCATCTGCATTGTACTTTATTTTATACACCCATTTACATCTAATGGGTGTTTTACCGACAGGTAAGTCAACTACAGACCAAGTGTTGTTCTGTTCTAATGCCTCAATTTCAAGTTTCATAGCTTCAACCTATCTGTCATCCTTACTAGCTTGATAAAAAGATGATGGTTCAACATTAGCAGGAAAAAAAAGTAAGAAATGCTCTAAAAGTTAGAGAGAGGTGAGTATAGGAAATAAAATATTGGATGGGGTGATATGTAAATAAGTGGATGGTAGGGGTGGATGAACATAGTCAGTCAACCAAATTGGTGGCTTACTAGTTCTCCCCGACTTCCTAGGTGGAGGTAAGTCAAGTGAGGCAGAAGAACCAGGCTCAACAGAGGTAGCATGGTCCATGGGAGAAGAATAGAGCATGGTGTCTGATGGAATTGACTCTGCAGAAGAAAATAAATTGGTAGTGAATGGAGGACTGTGAGGTTATGAAGGTGAAGTTGGCAAGTTGTTGATTGGAGACGAGGGAAGTGAGGTAGGTGGTGCTTGTGTAGATGAGACTGGCACATAATCCAGTATTGAAGAAGGAGAAAATACATCAGAAATAGTTGTAGGCATGAGTATTGAGGAATCATGTTGTGACGAAAGCAATTTCTCTTTTGGACATTTGAAAGGAAAGATATTTTCTTTAAAGATAACATCTCGACTGACAAAGATTTTCCCAAAGTCAAGTTCATATAGTTTATAGCCTTTCTATGTAGAAGCATAACCTAGAAGAACAACAAGAATGGATTTTGGTTGGAATTTGTCGTGAGAGTCAAGTCTGGTCGCATAACAAAGACATCCTATTATTCTTAGGTGATCCAGTTTAGGGGAACATCCATGAAAAAGCTCATAAGGAGTCTTTCCATGTAGAACAGTTCTAGGCAATCTATTAATGATATGGGTAGCTGGCAGAATGCATTCACCCTACAGTTTTAAAGGTAATGTAGCTTGAAACCTCAGCTCTGCCTACTTCAAGTAGGTGTCTATGCTTTCTTTCTACAACTCCATTTTGTTGGGGAGTATAGACACAACTACTTTGATGAACAATTCCTTTGGTTTGAAATAGATTAGAACAAAGAGAATTGAAGAACTCATAGCCATTATCAGACCTGAAAATCTTGACAGTAGAAGAAAATTGGTTTTCTACCAAGAAGAAAATTTGATAGAATCACATAGACATCACTTTTCAATCTTAAGAGAAAGGTCCAAGTCATTCTTGAAAAATCATCAACAAGAGTCAGGAAATATCTTTAACCAATGTAAGTATTTACTCTATAAAGACCCCACACGTCCATATGAACAAGTTCAAATGAACATTTTGATCTTGAAATGCTAGTAGGAAAAGACAACCTAGTCTGTTTAGCTAATGGACAAACATGACATTTATAAGAACTAGAATTAGACAACAATGTCTTTATTGTAGGTATTTTCTTAAGAACTGAATGAGGAGCATGCCCAAGTCTTTGATGCCACAACATAGTTGAGGAGGTAGTCTGGTTAGTGGTCATACATAGTGGAAGTGAGTGGCGCAGCAGGCGTTTGAAGGATTGAGGATGTAAAGTCCATCCTTGAGGCTACCAATACCCTCTACACATTGCCACTGAAGAGGTCCTGAAAGAGACAGAATCAAGATAAAAAGAGACTATACAATTCAAACTCCTCAGTATATCTAGGACACTGACAACAGATTCTACTGAAACTTAGGCGCATAAAGCACATCATGTAGAGTTTAAGTGTTGGACAGGGCACATGATCTTGTATGTGTAACCTGATTACTTTCTCCATTTGGTAAATGGATTGAAGTAGATTTCGAATGGGGAACAAGCTTATGACAGGATAATGGATCTAAGGATGAAACTATGTGATTTGAAGCACCAGTATCAATGATCCACTTAATTTGGTTAGCAATTGAATTACCTGCCATATTGGCCACATCTGCTGGTGTTTCGTTTTTTCTGCTGGTCCTTTTTCCTTGCTTAACATTCTGAGTATTTGTTGATACTGCTCAGGTGTGAAAATTAGAGTTGTTGCATTGATCATGCCATTTATCATATCAATTCCATTAGTTCATGTATGTTTAGTCTCCTCCATTATACTCACATTATGTGCCACGGGTGTGTAGTTGTCATTAGCACCTCTTCTTTTATTGTTGAACTTAAAACCTGGTGATACCCTACCAACTTATAGCAAGTATCTCTTGTATGT